CAAAATTTTGGTATTATCGACTGACATATAATCAATTGATTTTTGGTATTATTGATTGATTTCTGATATTACATTTTACATTTACATTTAGTCATTTAGCAGACGCTTTTATCCAAAGCGACTTACAAATGAGGACAAGGAAGCAATTTACACCACTAAGAGCAACAATGAATAAGTTCTAAAGGCAAGTTTCAGGTCTGTAAAGTCTAAGAAGGGAAGTGTTAGTAATTTTTTTTTTTTTTTTTTTTTTTTTTTTGTACAGTTAGTGTGATATTCAAATAGGCAATTGCAGATTAGGAAGTGAAGTGGAGACTAAATAGTTGATATTATCGACTTATCAAAAATTTTTTGGTATTATCGATCGATTTTGGTATTATTGATCGATTTTGGTTTTATCGACTGACTTATTCTCAATCAATTTTGGCATTTTCGATCGATTTTGGTATTGTCGACTGACTTATTAGCAATTGATTTTTGGTATTATTGATTAATTTAGGTATTATTGTCTGACTTATTTTCAATCGATTTTTGGTATTATCGTCTGACTTATTATTAATCGACTTTTGGTATTATTGATTGATTTTGGTATTATTGATTGATTTTGGTATTATCGACAGACTTGTTATCAATAATTTTTTGTATTATCGCTGACTTATTACCAATAAATTTTTTATATTACCGTCTAACTTACTATCAATTGATTTTTGGTATTATTGATTAATTTAGGTATTATTGTCTGACTTATTTTCAATCGATTTTTGGTATTATCGTCTGACTTATTATTAATCGACTTTTGGTATTAATGATTGATTTTGGTATTATTGATTGATTTTGGTATTATCGACAGACTTGTTATCAATAATTTTTTGTATTATCGCTGACTTATTATTAATCAATTTTTTATATTACCGTCTAACTTACTATCAATTGATTTGTGGTATTATCAATACATTTTTGGTATTATTGACTTACTATTGATCGGCTTTTGGTATTATTGATCGATTTTGGTATTATCAATCCATCTTGGTATTATCGACTTATTGTCAATTGTATTTTAGTATTATCTGTCAAATTTTGGTGTTATCATTAATATCTTAAATTTGGCCAATAAACTACACCCAAATGAAAATTTTAAACCATGCAGTAAAAGAGTTAAAGGAGCAAATAATCAAATAGTAGATGGATTATGTTACGCTAATCAGCTCACTCCCAAAACTTTACAGAGTGTACTTTGTAGAATGATAAATAAAACTGTAAAAAAATATGAATAGGTAATATACAGAAAGTGATCGAACAGTTTTGCCTCTATAATCAATGAAGCAGATATCACTTTAGTTAAAGTTTTTGTCAGTTTTTTGGGCCAAATATCTAAAGATTCTAAAACAAAGAAGTATTTTTTAGACAAGCTAAAAATATTGTCTTGTTTATCCTTAAAACAAGCAAAATAATCTGCCAATAGGGTAAGAAAAACAATCTCATTTCAGAGCGCAAGCTAGATTATTCATCTTACCCCATTGGCAGATTACTCTGATTGTTTTATAACTCACTTATTATTATTATTTTTTTACATATTATTTCTGAAACAAGACAATATTGTTTGCTCATTTAAAAAATGTTAAAGAAGTTTTATATATTTGGGCAAGAAATAAGGCAAAAACTCTTGATAAGAAAAGGATTTTTTTGCAGTGTAATTGCAAACCCTTATAATATACACAGAAAAATAGGTTTTTATACCTTGCTGGTTATAAGAAAACGTAGACCTCAAGCTTTGAAAAGAGCTCTGTGTGAGCTGTTCTTCATACATCAGTGAACAATAGGGCTTAAGTGCAACTAAAACGCTCAACAAACATGGCCGTAATTGGCTAAAATGTTTAACAGGGAAAAAAAAAAACATTGTACACAGAAACCTTTGATGCTCTTCACAGAGTGCTCACACAAATACCCACCAGACTAATGCTACAGGAAGGCATGTACCGTTACATCTTTAAATTGTGAAAGTGTTGACTTGCTTTCAAGATACTAGTTCTTTTAAACAGAGATGTGTTCTATTTATCATCTATGATCTGAAAACGAACATGTTGTTAACTGGGGGACAGTCTTACCCTCATCTTGTTGTTAACTAGATCGAGGATGGCATCATAGGGGATCTTCTCCAAAGGTAAACTGACTAGCCATTCCAGCAATGTCTCCAAAAGTTTCACCACCGACTGGTGGCCTGGAAACAGCTGAAATCAAAAATAAGATGCACTGTAAATGATTTCAGCGTGAGAAGACACCTCCAGTGCAAAGAAATGCTGCGTTTGTGTTAAAACACTACCTTGGCAACAACGGTTACAAAGTCCTTGAAGGTTTTTAGCTCTTCTCCTTCTAAGGTCTTGTGGGTGGCCAGCTCAACCCTCAGGAGATAATGTAAGCCAGACTCCAGATCTGCCATGTATACCTTAGACCTGAAGAAACATTCATTTTTGATTCACCTCGTCTTTGTTAAAGGAATAGAAACAGAAAATAACATAAAAAGTTGTACCCCTTCCTTGGTGTAAACACTTTTTTTCTTCCTTTCAGACAAACATAATTAGAATAATATCTAAATAATAATAATACCCTGGCTCAACCAAACTTTATAAAGGCGGTGATTTTTAATGCCCCAAAAACCCATTGATGAATGTAATCCATACGACTCCAATGTGTTGTAACTGGGCTCTTATGAACATGTTTAACAGTTGGAAGCCATTGATAATAGCTTATGAAGTTTCAAATTTGGATATTTTCCTTACAAAAACCCATCACTTTGCTTCAGAGGGCATTCATTAACCCACTGGAGTTGTATGGATTATTTTTATAAAGGAAGGCCGAGCTTTTTTGGAGCATCAAAAACGTGAGCACCATTCACAGCTGTTGTAAAACTGGGTAAAGTCAGGACTCAAGACACACGCAAGCACGCACAGATACACATCTGTTTAGTGCATTTCCCACACACATTTCAAACACACTTTGCTTCACTCCTATCAAACTTGATGCTTGATGTATTAATGCGGTTTCTACTTAAATTCCTTTTATTCATACATTAATTTATTTATTAATTAATTGATCAATTCAATTATTCACTCACTCACTTACTAATTTTATATAACACATTTTTCTTTCATTTGTTTATTCATTCATTTGTTCACTTATTAATTTATTTGTTTACTCAGTTGTTCATTCATTCATTCACACTCATTTTAAGTAATAGTTTTTTTCTTTCATTTGTTTATTCATTCCTTCGTTTATTCAACCATTCATTTATTCATTTTTTTGTTTTTTCGGTTATTCATTCATTCATTAAATAATTATTTTATTTACTTATTCATGTATTGGTTCATTTGTTTTTTTATTTATTCAATCGTTCATTCATGTTTTCACTTATTCATTCATTACCTTACTTATACATTCATTTGCTTATTCATTCATTCATTCACTTACTCACTCATTATTTTATATAACACATTTTTCTTTCATTCGTTTAATTATTCATTCATTCTTTTTTATTCACTTTTTCATTCATTAATTCAATAATTCATTCATTAACTCACTTATTCATCTGTTTATTCATTCATTCACGTATTCCCTCATTCATTCGCTTGTTCATTCATTCACTTACTCATTTGAACTAATAAATTTTTTGTTTAATTTGTTTGTTCATTCATTCTTTTTTATTCATTTATTAATTGATTCATTAACCTATTCATTTATTAATTCATTTGTTTATTTATTAATTCGTTTGTTTATATGTTTTTTCATTAACTTATTCATTCACTTGTTCATTCATTCACTCACTCATTTATTTTACATTTTTCTATCATTCGTTTAATCATTCATTTATTCATTTTGTTTATTCACTTATTCATTCATTAGCTCAATAATTCATTCATTAACGTAGTTATTAATTTTTTTGTTTATTCATTCGTTTATTCATTCACTTATTCATTCACTCACTTACTCATTTTGTATAATACATTATTCTTTCATTGGTTTATTTATTCATTCATTCATTTCTTTGTTTATTCACTTAGTCATTCATTTATTCAATAATTCATTCATTAACTTATTCATTCACTCATTTATTTATTCATTTGTTTATTCATTGATTCATTTATTCATTCATTCATTTACTTATTCATTCATTTGCTTACTTTACAAAATAAAAGACAAAAACAAAGAACAAAATCTTTATAAATGTTTTCTTTTAAGGCTACCAGTAAACTCTTATTCTGAATTACGTTATAAAACGTGACTTAAATCCCCATAGCAACTTACCTGTTGTTGTTTTGTTATTTTTTCACAGCACAGCAGTTAAGCCAGTGTGACTTGACATGCTTATTTTCCAAACCATATAATGCAATTTGGTGTAATTTGGCGTTTGAGACACCTTTTACATTTAGTTTCACATTTAGTCATTTTAGCAGATGCACTTGTCCAAAGCGACTTACAATCAAGGAGGTATAATATAATATTTTATATCATTATTGTTGTTAAAAAAAACAGCCATGCTGCTTAATATTTTTGCAGAAACTGTGGAAAAGACTCAAGATTCTTTGACAAATAGAAAGTTCGGAGAAACAGTATTTGCAATCCCTTTTTAACAACTAAATGCATCCTTGATTAGAACTAATGTTAATTATTATCCGAGTACAGACTTTTGAGCAGTAGCATATAAATCAATAAAACTCACTTTTTAAACTCTTTCCACTCCACCTGGGCTCCCTGTCCATTAATCCCAGGCTGAGGACGCTGCAGGGACGAGGTGGACTGTTTTCTGTGTACTCCAGGGAGAAGTTTTAGGAAGGAGGAGAAGAAAAAACGTAACTTCTTCTGCCTGTGAACAACAAAATAAAAAAACACATAAAATAAACAATTCATCTATTTAATAGTTTGACCAAAATGAACTCAGCAGAGGCCATTTAACGTACACATTCAAAACAGTGTGTGTGCCGTTGGGCTGGAAAAGGTACGCCGAGGGAACTGAACTAATCCCCAGCTTGTCCATTAGAAGTTGGTCTGAGCTCAGAGCTCTCTTCACCACCAAACCCTCATATGGCATCAGGTCCAAAATTACCTAGTTAAAAAGAGCACACAACACTCAATCAGAGCATTATAATTCAAGCTGGATCACTAATTATCCCCTAAAGGATCACTTAGATCATCATCTACTCACCCACTCGTCATTTGAAACCGTTGTTATGTTCTTTTTGCAAGGAGTTCAGTTTTTACTGGATTGTCTAAACTGGCTACTCTCAACAGTTTTTTTTTTTTTTTGGACTCCAAGGCCCCTTTAGGCCTTTACAATATTTGAAAGATATTTTATTAGGCACTTTAAGTGTCCCTGCTACTTCTGTTGTAAAACATTATTTAATACATAAACTTAACATATGATATAGGAACTTAACAGAGTTAGGCTGACAAGAGAAAAAAGACAATCATAAAAATGTATTCTAGTGCATTACGTGCACACACACAATGTTTTATTTGAATTTTAATCCTTTTGTTTTAAGCAGTTAAATTTTTTTTTAACTGTTACTACTACTAAAATGTTTGTTGAGAACACCATGCTGAGAACAGCAGAACTTTCAGTTAAAAGAACAATCCAACTGTATTGAAAATGGCTCATTTTACAAGTCTCCTAGAGTTAAACAGTTGACTTGAACCATTTTCCAATCCATTCAGTTGATTTCTTGACCACTTTTATCATAGCTTAGCATAATATATTAAATCCAATTAGACCATTAGCATTGCATAAAAAAATGAGTTTTGGGCTAATTTTACAAGTTTTCAAGAGTTAAACAGCGGACTTGAACCATTTTTTAATCAATTCAGTCGATTTCTTGGTCACCTTTAGCTTAGCTTAACTTAGCATAATAAAATGCATCCAATTAGACCATTAGCATCACGTAAAAAAAGGAGTTTTGGGCTCATTTTACAAGTCTCCTAGAGTTAAACAGTTGACGTGAACCATTTTGGAATCCATTTAGTCTATTTCTTTGTCACTTTTAGCTTAGCTAAGCTTAATATGTTGAATCCAATTGGACCATTAGCATCATGTAAAAAAAAAGTTTTGGGCTCATTTTACAGGTCTCCTAGAGTTAGACAGTTAATTCGAACCATTTTTGAATCCATTCAGTCGATTTTTTGGTCACTTTTAGCTTAGCTTAGCATAATGTATTGAATCTAATTAGACCATTAGCATTACATAAAAAAAAGAGTTTTGGGCTCATTTTCATGTCTCCAAGTGTTAAACAGTTGACCTTAACCATTTTTAAATCAATTAATTTGATTTTCTGATCACTTTTAGCTTAGCATAACGCGTTGAATCCAAATAAACTATCAGCATTACATAAAAAAAGAGGTTTTGGGCTCATTTTACAAGTCTCCTGGAGTTAAACAGTTGACTTGAACCATTTTTGAATCCATTCAGTCCATTTTTTGACCACTTTTAGCTTAGCTTAGCATAATGTATTGAATCCAATTAGACCATTAAGCATTATGTTAAAAAAAGAGTTTTGATCATTTTCCCATTTAAAGTGTGAAGTCTGAATCTGAAATCGTGTGATACATTGTGTAATAAAACTGAGAAGAGATGATATTAAGTGTTCCTCATACCATAAAAGTATTATGGATCCTTTCTTAAATTATACAAGAGTCAAAAGAAATAGTTATTTACAGGGATAGTTCACCGAAAAGTTGCTAATTTAACTATTTAATAATCCATAAGTGGTTCCAAATATTTAGGATTTTCTTTATTTTTGCTGTTTAACAAAAAAGGAAACGAGGAATTTTGGTTATATGTAGCCATAAACTGACATTGTAGGGAAATAAGCACTATGGACGTCAATTGCTAGTTATGAACATTCTTCAAACTATCTGTTTATCAACTCTCAAACTCATTCTCAACAGTTATCCTAAACAGGTTTGGAACAAGAGTGAACAAATCATGACAGAATTAAAATTTTTGAGTGAACTATCCCTTTTACAACAGAATTGATGATGGATTACCAAATTTAATTGGTGCTTCTCGTTTATTTCCTCACAAAGGATAACAGGTATGTAAAGCAAGACGTGTATAGCTAGTGTTGGATTAATAATTCTTTTTAATGTACACAATATGAACTCTTAAACCTCAAGATCAATCTTTTCATATATGCTAATGATGATCGGTAGTGTAGCTGGCATTCAGTAATTGCAGGCTTTGTGCTTTGTTACTTTTAATACGAAAAATCTCAGCTTTTACATTCAGCCATAAAATACAAACAATAAATGCTTTGATGCTCTTCATGCGCTTCACTATAGCCACTTTGTGCACATATAATTATGTTCAGATGGTGGAACGACGTCAGTGAATTCTGTAAACAATTATTTTACATGTATTTATTTTTTTTAAAATGCATAAACTTGTTAATAATCAGCTAGAGAGAGATTTCAAGAAAGGAGCATTTTGCAAAAAAAATAAATAAAAAAAATATAAAGTAAAAATGTATATATTTTACAGTGAGGGATTAGGCAGTTTATATAATTTATTTGAAAAAAGGCAGATTAAATGTATAGAAAGATTATAGGCAGTTTTTTAAATCATCAGATAAAAAATATGCTGTTAAAAGGCTGGGTTCCACAAAATTCATCCATATTGTCCCAACACAAATAGATTTAGATGAGACTTGCTTGTTTTCACAAATTTAAGTGGGTCGAACATAAAACATCATCATTTAGTAGCCAAAAATCTCAGAAATAGTATTGTTTAAGTGTTCTGTTGATAACTATATTTGATAACAGTTAGTAACTATAATATAACCAAAATCGACTACTGAAGATTTTAGAAAATGCATCCCTTGGTCAAATATGTTACATGGGAGAACTTCTGCTTGTTTGCATACATCTGTTATTCATTATGTGTGTTCACTGGAAATTGTCTTGTGAAGTGCTTTACAATTTGGCAAGCCTTTGGTTATTTTATGCATCAAGAATGCATCACATTTGAATATAATGAAACGTATTGGCAGAGTGAAAGGTGAAATTAACCTTCTGAAAAACAAAGAAGTACAATTTCAACAATATTCTCACACAAAGCTATTGTACAGCTTTAGATTCATCGTTTTACTCCTTTAACTTTCAGCAAATCAACAAATCTGTCTACTTTCTAAATAGTGGCTGAGACTTGTTTCAATTTATTTTTCGACCCAATTTTGTGACTCTGGGCCACAAAACCAGACACAAGTGTTGATTGTATAACCTGAAAGCTTTAAATATGCTTTAAATGGCATTAGAAATTAATTTAAATGTGCAGTATGTAATTTTGACACTGTTGTGAATTTCTCTAGTCTGTCTCACAGCACCAAAACTGTTGTGAAATTCTAAGATGAGCCCAAAAACCAGGGAGAACTTTCGGGTATCTGCAGAATACTTTAATAAGAAGAGCTCAGCGTAGCTGTGGCGTCATCGAAAGAACTCTTTATTGGTAAAGCAGAGACTCAGTTTAAATACATTTTTACACACATTGACACATGTAGGTGAGGACAGTCTAAAACAAAGCATGCAAACAAAGTGGTGTTGTCGGCAATTGTAAAAGATCATAATTTATTTTTTAATAACTACAAACTTCACAAAACTATAACCTACCGGTCAAAAGTTTTGGGTCAGTAGGATTTTTGAATGTTTTAAAATAAGCTTCTCCTGCTCACCAAGGCTGCATTTAAATCATAAAAAATACAGCACAAAATGGTGAAATGTTACTATAAAATGCACTATAAAAAAACATTTAAAAGTAGTTTATCATGTACTTTAATCATTTATTCCAGTGATTTTATAGATGCATTTTCAGCTTCATTACTTTTCAGAAATCACTCTAATATTAATTATTAATATTGCAAAAAAAATTACATTTAATAAATGATCAGAATATTTTTAAAAAACATAAAAAAGTAGTGTATATCACAAAACTATATTTACATAGAAAGTGCATTCTATAGTATGAATGTGAGGTAGTACTACATACACCATTTGTCATTATCACAATGCATTTTTATCAGTTTGTGCATTACCTGACTGGATTCCATCACCTAGTGCCTAGCTAGCGCTCTGTTGTTTGTCTTTAATTAATTTTTTGACATGCATTTGCATTATTTTTCCTCTCTGTCTCTAGCTGAATCATTCCAGTTAACCTTGAATGGGCACATTATGATTCAAACATTTAATACCAATAAAGCAAAAAGGCACACGCATCTGAATTAAGGCATGTCTCATCATCTAAGTCGTGATTGCCTACAAAAACAATTTGTCCTCCAGTGCTGCAATGTCATGCTTACATCACTGAGAAAAAGCAGAGTTAGAGTATATATGTGATTTTTGTTCATGCTACTAATTAAAAAATGCACATCATCTAATATTAAAACTAACATCAAAGTTAATAACAATTAAGTCAACATGTTTGAAAAGACATATGGGTGAGTAAATGATGATTTCATCCTGTCCTCAAAAGCGGAAAACCATTTCTCATACCTCTCTCCCTATGTAGGAGTTTCCGTCCTCAACTATAACTGCAGTGTAATGCTCCGTTTTCTTCCCCATTAAGGACAGGACGTCCTCAGACCTGCAACAGATCACAAACTCAACATTTATGAATAGGAAATGGAGACACATTCCACTTGTGCCTAGAAATGAAACCCTAAACACACATTCACTTTGGACCTGGAGGCAGAATGTGCTAAACATCATTAAAAAAAAAATCCACTTTTTACAAAAAATAGGCTCATTTTACAAGTCCCCAAGAGCTAAACAGCTGAGTTTTACCATTTTTTATTCTATTCAGGTGATCTCTAGGTCTGGCTGAAGCACTTTTAGCTTAGCTTAGCATAGATCATTGTATCAGATTAGACCATTAGCATCTCACTCAAAAATGGCCAAAGAGTTTTGATAATTTTTGTATTTAAAGCTTGATACTTTTGTAGATACACTGTGTGCCAAGATCAGTGGAAAATGAAAAGTTGATATTTTCTAAGCCAATGTGGATAGGAACTATACTCTCATTCTGGCGTAGTAATCAAAGATCTTTGCAGCTGTACTATGGAAATCTTGAAAATTGGTTAACTTCTGTGTATTCTAGTGACTTCAGGATCTGCACCAAAATAAGTAATTTCAGAATAGTCTTTCAGAAATCATGGTAGCAAGGCATCTTTGGTCATTTCTCAGTAAAATGCTAATGGTCTAATCCAGGGATGGGCAAACTCCGTTTTCTGCAGAGTTTTGCTCTAATACTAATCAACATCTTCAAGATCGCTAGAAAGCTATAGGCAGGTGTGTTTGATTAGGGTTGGAGGTAAACTTTGTAGGACACTGGCCTTCAAGGACCTAGTTTGCCCATCACTGGTCTATTCTGACTCGATGATCAATATTAAGCTAAACTAAAAGTGCCTCCACCTGACCCGGAGATTAACTAAATGAATAAAAAACAATTTTTAGATCAGGGTTCCCACTCTATAACCCAACATATCAAATTCCTTGACTTTTCCCTGATTGTCACTGACTAAAAAGCTGAATTTCCATGAGCTATCCACCTTTATTTTCACATGAGTATGGCACGAATATTGTAACTAAAAGGGTACCCATGATGAAAATCAACTTTTGTAAGATGTTTAGACAGAACTGTGTGTAGGTAAAGTGTGTGCATGGTCATATTGGAGTGATAGAAACACAATAAGACTCTTTTTGATAAATTTCCTTTCGTTAAAACAGGATCCAACTACCTCCTGTTCTGAGGCCCACCACAACGTGATGTAGGAGTGTGGTTTCCCCGCCTACCGAATTGATTGACAGACACGTATTAACACGTCTTTGTAGAAATGCATACCAGCAATACAGGATGTGCATAAATCAACTGCGATTAAAAGATCGCGGCTCTCTGTGATCATCCTTAACCTCAAGAATAGGTTTTACAAGTTTTTAAACTTTTTTAAAACAGTACATGTTCATAATAAAGACAAAAATGTGTGTGTGTTTTTTTCAATGTGTGTACGCACCCAAGCACGCTAACTTTGTAATGACATTGTGTGTGACTCATCATTGCAGAAAGGCTTGAATTAAATCCACAACAAATACATCAACAGTTGGGAAAGTTCTTAAGGTGCTTTTACATGGGGCTTCAGTGTTAACGCTTGACAGAGGGTGTGTCTGAAAAGCCAATGAAATTAGTCAGCAATCAGGTCTGAGCTGGTGAATTTGCATACAGCGATCTGATTGGTTGAGAAAGTCCCAACTTCTGCAGTAAACGACGCCACTGAAGCGGCGCCGACGAATCCACAACGCAGTTCGGCGACACCTGACGTCACCAATTCAAAGTAAATGGGAACCGCTGGTGTTTTGAGCTGAACTCTACAGACACATTCTGTAGACACAAATGACTTGCCTTAATCTTGAAAAAGGGGTAAAATAAATAAATCTTTAAATGTGTCAAGACTTCTGGTCTCTTTCACTTCCATTTATTTTAAGCAAAACAAAACAACTTACGCTGCTTGATGATGTTGTAAAAAATCATTCTGTTTTAATATATTTGATTGACAGTTGATGATATTTCATGACCTGAACCAAAAATATATGTAAAACTCTCTGACTTCTAATGTCTGGAATAGACTTTTTAAAATTACATGACATTTTAGAAATTCCATGGACTGTGGGAACCATGAAAAATGGTAAAAGTCAAATCTTTACCTCTAGTGTGATTGTAAAATGAGCCTGTAAAAAATTTAAATGTGTCGGCGCCAGCGGTGTGGTGGTAAGTGCGTCGACACATGCACTCTGGTGCTCATGGCGACCCGAGTTTGATTCCGCCTCGCGGTCCTTTGCCGACCCTCACTTGGCTCCCAAAGCTTTTCTGTCAATTCTCTCTACTTTCCTTTCCATATAATGGTGAAAACCCAGAAAAAAAATATTATAAAAAAAGAAAATGTACAACGTTTCCAATTTTTCTAGCTCACATTGTTATTCTTAATGTGAACGATTAATCAATGCAAAGTCTATCCACTGAAAACAAATTGTTTTGGTAATCTTCAAATCACAATCTGAGCACCTTTCTGCTTCTGTTGATGTTTTTTTTATCAGATTCAGTCACAATATTCATAACCATGCCATTCATACTGTTAAATTGCCAGAGGGGAATAATGCTCAAAAAGAAAGCCACACCCCCTACTCAATATTCTGTTTTAGTCTGAAGTACATCAACATACTGAAATAAAAGTATTAGCAACTTCCAGTACACACAGCCTTTAAGTATGTCTGGAATGAATATGTCTACGCAAGATGTACACAAATGGATTTTAATGTAACAGATTTGGGCACCTGGCAGGGTGAAGCGGAGGGCAGCCCACAGGCCAGTCTTGTCTAGTGTGGTTCTGGATGAAGTTCACCATCAACTGCCTGACTGTCTGAAGCTCTCTGTCAGCTCCTATCAGTACACAAAATGAGAAAACCAAGTCAGTTACACACCATAACAGCAATCCGTGCAACAATAATAGCAAAGTCAACTTTACCTTTAATCAGAGAAATCAGAAATGATGAAACCCACCTTGATATGTCTTTCCAAAGTCATTTGTGGTGTCATGTGCCTTAAAATACTAAAACAAGAAATGAGGAGAGAACAAAATTAATCTCTGCATATGTAGGTCAGTTTTACTCAACATAACCTTTCATGCTTCTGGCAACTTAATAAGAGTGCAATAATGTTTTTTTTTGTTGCAGTGTATTGCAATGCAATGTATTGTTACAGACACTGGTTTCAGATTTACTTGACCTTGATTAGACACAGATAAGATGCATAACAGATATAAAGGAGTACAACAAAATCATATAGAAGGCAGGGGTCAGAGAATTATACAAATGCACAGAATCTGACTTGACATTCAAAAGTGTTTAAGAAATTTTAATGCATGAATTCAAAGATGTAACATTTCCAAACGGTTACGTAGTTTCACATAGTATGACTATGCACACTACCCGACAGAAGTCTTGCAGTCCAACCCAGTAAGAGCAACAAATAATATCTAGACTTCTAGTTGATCATTTGGAAAAGTGGGAGAAGGTAGTTTTTCCAATGAATCATCTGTTGAACTGCATCCCAATCATCACAAATAATGCAAAAGGCCTATTGGAACCTGCATGGACCCAAGATTCTCACAGAAATCAGGGGTCTGGGTGCCAATGGTTCTGTATTGATACTTACTTAAAAAAATCATAATTAATCGTTTATTTTAAAATAATTAATATATTGTTCAATAAAATAAAAATTAAGATGAACACAATAAATTTTTACTAAGATAAATGAACAATTCTAAATGTGTGTATATATATATATATATTTATATATATATATATATTTATATATATATATATTTATATATATATATAAATATATATATATATATATATATATATATATATATATATATATATATATATAAATATATATGTATATATATATATATATATATATATATATATATATTTATATATATATATATATATATATATATATATATATATAAATATATATATAAATATATAAATATATATATATACACACCCCTGTTTATTTTTTTACACTTCTATACAGCTTAAAATGACATTTAAAGGCTTAACTAGGTTAATAAGGTGAACTAGGGAGGTTAGAGTAATTAGGCATCGTTATTCTATAACGATGGTTTGTTCTGTACACTATCGGAAAAAAAATTAGCTTAAAGGGGCTAATAATTTTGTCCTAAAAATAGTTTAAAAAAATTAAAAACTGCTTTTATCCTAGCCGAAATAAAACAAATATGACTTTTTCTACAAGAAAAAATATTATCAGACATACTGTGAAAATTTCCTTGCTCTGTCAAACATCATTTGGGAAATATTTAAAAAAAGAAAAAAATCAAAAGGGGGCTATATATATATATATATATATATATATATATATATATATATATATGTGTGTGTGTATATAAAGTGGTGCGAAAACGTGCACTGATTTCTTATTTCTTTGCATGTTTGTCACACTTTAATGTTTCCGATCATCAAACTAATTTACATAATAGTCAAAGATAACACAAGATCACACATTATGCACTTTTGGAATTAAGGTCTTTATTATTAAGAAAAAACTAAATCCAAAACTGACAGCATGCTCAGTGTGATGTATTCTATCAAAGCTCAATCAGGTTTATATTTTGCATAATATAATACACTTATGCAACATCACACGAACATGACTGCTGTTATCATCACTGATTATCAGCATGATTGCAAATGTGAAATTAACAGCAATAAACAAGTTTATATTTATATCTGATGTTGCCTATCTTGTCTGTGAAAATGGTTCAACATATAAATCTGAGTTGATCCTTCTGAATTAACAGAAGCAAAACGACTGAATCAATGATTTAGTGATCAAAGACTGACAATCATGTAAAATTTATATATATATATATATATATATATATATATATATATATATATATATATATATATATATATATATATATATATATGTGTATGTATATATATATGACACATCGATCAATGGATGAATAATTAAGATATTTATTTTCAGCCACACAGAAATAGGGGTTTAGTTTTATTCGTTCATTCATTCTTTTTCCTTCAGCTTAGTCTCTATTTTAGAGGCCACCACAGCCAAATGAACCACCAACTATTCCTGTATATTTTTTTACGCAGCGGATGCTTTTCTAGCCGCAACCCAGTACTGGGAAACACCCACACACTCTCACAAAACCCCCAATTTAGTTTACAAACCACTGAACCATCGTGTCGCCTCGGTTTGATATTTAAAGTATTATTTAATTGAAAAAGACTTTCTATTGTGCTGAAAGATGAAATGACGCACCCTGAAGGTGGGATAAAAGTGGATCCCGAACTCCTTACAGATGTCGAAGTTCTTCTCATGAGCACAATCCACAACTCCAATGCGAATGGCCTGCGCCCAGTCTGTGAGGGAGCAGAAAAGTTAATTACTTTACAATCAAAGAAATCTCAATGCATAGACAACAGAAATCAAACTTTAAACTTCTTAAATTTGAGTTACAGTATCTTTTATTCATTCATTCATTCATTTCTTTTCGGCTTTGTCCCTTTATTAATCTGGGGTTGCCACAGCGGAATGAACCGCCAACTTATCCAGCATATGTTTTACACAGCGGATGCCTTTCCAGCTGCAATTCGTCTGAACCTCATGTTTTTGGACTGTGGGGCAAATCGATGCACCCGGAAGAAACCCACGCGAACGCAGGGAGGACATGCAAACTCCACACAGAAATGCCAAACACTAAAGTGTAAACACTGAACAATCAAAGCAAACTTTAAGGTAGATCAATATCTGTAAGGTGTCAATAATGATACAGTAAACCTCAAACTTCGTAAACAAAGCAAATTATAATAATCAAATCTGAGCTTTCAAGTAAAACGTTGAACGTTGACACCGAGGTAGAATGCAAATGTCATTGTAAAATGGCTTTAATGTTATATGTGAAAATGTAAATATATATTACAATGCTAAAACATGATTGAGGACTGATTATTGTGACAGGCCTATCCAACACCGGTCTGGAAAGTGGGTGGGACAATTATTATTTAAACAATGCCTAAATTTGCTGGCTGCCCAGCATCCTCTATTAACAAACTTCAGCTAGTACAAAATGCAGCAGCCAGAGTTATTACCAGGTCTAGAGAATATGATCATATCACCCCAATTTTATCCTCCTAACACTAGCTGCCTGTTAAGTTTCATATTGATTTTAAAATATTGCTTCTTACCTATAAAGCTTTAAAAAATGTAGCTCCTGTTTATCTAACCAATATTCTGTCAGGCTACAATCCAACCCGCTCTTTAAGATCTCAGAACTCAAGGCTTCTGGTAGTATCTAGAACAGCAAAGTCGAGAAAGGGAGGTCGAGCCTTCTGATTTATGGCTCCTAAACTCTGGAATAGCCTTCCTGAAAATGTCCGAGGCTCAAAAACACTCTTGCAGTTCAAAACTAGATTTTTAGTAAAGCATACACTCAGTGCATCACTTAGTGGTGTGATACATGAATGTGCTCCACACAGGTTTCTTCATCTCGTTTATATACACTATGAACAGCAGCTACGTTAATTATTCTCGTTATTCTCTATTTTCACCTGGGGAAACTCATCCCGAGGCCCTCAGACTATGCAGCGCCATGGATTCAATCCATGACCAGCGACGAGATGATCCCAAGGTTTCCATAATCCTGGACCAGGCCATATCCTGAGCAGCTGCTGGGGTTGTCATGGAGGAGTGGAGAGCATGAGACTGATTCCTGTGATGTTCCAGGGACAGACAAGTCTTCGCTGAGGGCCAGCATTCTCCAGCCTCTGGCGCCTAGACTGCAGCTCTGCACAAGACGTTTGGCAATGGGAGAAATGATCATGCCCAACTGAGCCGGGTTTCTCTCAAGTTTTTTTTAATTCTTCACTTTCGCCAATTGGTGAAGTTTTTTTTCTTAGCCGCTGTCGCCACTGGCTTGCATGGTTCGGGATCTGTAGAGCTGCGCATCGATGGATTTGCTCTTCAGTGTTTGGACTCTCAGCAGTGAGTATTAAACCACACTGAACTGAGCTAAACTGAACTGAACTTAAACTCTGAAAACTGAACTGACAGTTTCAATTAATTATGATCTTTTATGTGAAGGTGCTTTAACACAATCTACATTGTAGAGGCGCTTTACAAATAAAGGTGAATTGAATTGTATAATAAAGACCTAAAGCTCCAAACTAGCTCAAAACATGCCTGAAAATAACATTAACACTAGGGTTTTATATGTTTTTGTATGGACTTGAAGAGCCCAGTAATATTTCTTCATTTGCGTAGTATAACACATGCTGACATCCTCACTAAATGTCTTATCAGTACTGACACACAGAACGGCTGCCAAACTGCCTAAATGGACAGGTAAAAAAAAAAAAAAACACTAAATCTGGCAGCAAGCCTAAAATCATTTGATGCATCGCATGCTTTTGAGCTCTGACATCGGACACGTAGATAATAAGTCTCTGGCATAAAACTTTGTGAGACGAAATACAGTCTTACAGCCTCAAAGCACGATTTCATACATTTTATATGGGGTTTGAGCAGCCAGGTGGTTTGTTTTTAACGCAAACTCGTAAAAACTGCGAGCAGCTGTAAAACCTGTGTCAGATAGATGAAGCAGATGGGGTGTGAAGATGAAGGCAGCTGATGTAAAAATGTTTCGTTTTGGAGAGAGGGGACAGGCAGAGGAGGCCCTTTAACCCTCTATTCTTCACCTGAGGGTGGGACTGTGGGTTTTGGGATGTGTGAGGGAACGCACAGCGGGGTCACGGCCTCACAATAGAACCATCTGACCCTCATTGTGAAGGTAACAGCTGGTAGGCGGCCACTCGCGAGCCACCCAGCCGACAGCTTGTGCCAACAAAGGCAGACTGAAAGCATTCAACAGAGCACTTGTTCTCGCAGCGTTAGTCAACCAAAGGCTGCAATCATCCCTTCCTTATTCTCAGTGCACTGGGGAGAAAAAGAAAGGGACGGCATTCCACAACACACATACCCAATGATATGATAATGACGCAAGCATTTGAGAGCTAACTGAACTATAAAAAAAAAATATATATATATATATATATATATATATATATATATATATATGTATGTATGTATATGTATGTATGTATGTATGTATGTATGCATGTATGTATGTATGTATGTATTTCATTAAACAAACAACAAACATAGTTCTGCCATAGATTACCACCATGGCAGGTTTTTGAAATGGGTCATAAATCAGCAAACAACAGTGGGAGAGATTGCAGAAGCGGTCACATTGATGGTTAAAAACCTGACCCTACCTAATTTCACGACTTCACTTTTAACATGTTTGCGACAAGGTGTTAAATCCAGTTGCCCTCGTTTAGATTAAATATGCCAATCAACAGTGACCTTTTCCTAGCCGACATCCTTTGCTGCACCCAACACAAGTATAGCTTCCTCCACAATAGCACCGATAATCACAACAGACATGTAGCACCGCTGTCTAAGCATTTTTATTCGCAATTAGGCTGGCCGTGTAACTCTGAGAAGGTCTGAAGTGAGAGGGACTATTAATCCCATTATTTATTCAAAGTGGAAACCACAGCCTGACCAGAGGTGGGCTTTTCCAATCCATCCAGAGCTGCTTACAGAGAGCACCCAAACTGAGGAAAAAGAGGACATCTTTGGGTCTGTGAGATCTAAACCTAAAATCAACATCATCAGCACATACAGTATGCTTGGAATATGCTGAGCTCCTGTTTTCTGATCATGGAAAAAGCAGGAAAAAACACACTATGCTATTTGTGCATCAGACTGATGTTTTATGCTTATTAAGGGATAGCTCACCAAAAATCTCTCATCGTTTATTTTCTCTCATGTGGTTTTCAACCTTTATGAGTTTCTTTCTTGTGTTGAACTCAGAAGGAGATATTTTGAAGAATGCTGATTGCTGGGGCCAATTGGGAAAATAATGACTATGGAGGTAAATGGATTCCAGTAGTTTTTCAAAATGTATTATTTTGTGTTCAGTGGAAGAAAGAAACTCAAATCGGTTTTGAACAAGTAAAGAGTGAGTAAATAATACCAGAATTTAAGTTTTTGGGTGAACTACCCCTTTTAAGTCCACGCGAACCTCTATTGGTTTTTTAGAATGTTGATGAACATCCAAATAAAATGGAATACAGAGTAGGGGGCGGGGCTTTCTTTTTCAATTCATTATTCCATCATAGCAAACTAATAGTAAGAGGGGTGTGGTTAAGAATATTGTGGCTGAAGCTGTCAAACTCACAGAGAAACTCAGAAGCTGTGTCTCATTTCAGAGGCTGCATGTGAAGTGCGCTGTGTCATCATGGCTCGACGAAGACTGTCTCATTTCACAAAAATTCCTTCGTTTCCCAAGTAATGAAAGACACAAGCGGTGGATCCTTCACAGCCTCAAACGTCCCAAGATTCATTGCGTGCTGATAACGGCAGGACACTTTTAAAAGAAAGCTCCACTTTAAAATGTACGATTTAAGTTTATTTTACTTCGATATCTAAACACGCGTTCAAAAACAAAAAGAGTATTGCTGTTTCTCAATTCCAAGAATGCAGAGAACGGACTTGCGTTCTTCTGGAGACCGGTCTTGCCAGGTGTCCTCGGAAGAACGAACTCGGAAGACCACGAGAACAGAGAACGCGTCCTCTGAGGAATGAGATGGTGTGTTCTTCCTGATGATCACGTGCCCTTCAAGGGTTTTAAAAGGAAAATTATTTACACATTACAGCATTCATATAACGATTTATTGTTTTTCCCCTTTTCAAAATGTATACTATGCTTAAAAACATTAGGGACTGGGACTTCTAGAGCGAGATCGGTGCTCAAGTCTGCATCGGTGCGTCCTCGATATCAAGAACACATCCGGGAAGTTTCACGCGTCCACTGTTCTTGCGGTCTTGAGTATTGGAACTGAACTTTGGCAGCTGATGATGACGTTACAGGAGAACACGAGGACACAAGACCGCTGAAGACCGCATATTGAGAAACAGCCTCTGACATGTCTTACTAAAGAGTGATTTATAGACAGTTTACATGTTGATGTGCACATGGATGAAAGGAAATATATTTCCAGTTTTTGTTTTGCCTTCAGATCGCTTAAAATAAGTTTTAAAATCACTTGGAAAAAAATGTATTAAAAATTTTATCAGCGCTTATTAACAGCAGCTGTTACGTTAGCCTGGTGACGAGATCCGTCCTTTGTAGGCTGGATCGTCTCATTTCAAAACGCCCGATTCAGCCCGTGTGGACTTCGAAGGACTCACCTTTGAAGTCTGCATCCTTCAGAGGTTGCAGCGTTTGAAATGAGACACAGCTACAGAGAAGGACTGGCCATTCCAAATGCAGAAGCAAATGGTCAGACTTTGA